AGACACCCTGGTTCCATGAATTTTCTCTGTTTACTTTCTTAAACCAGTGCTAGCCTTTTTTATTTTTTTTATTTTATTTAGAATATTCAATATTGTCATTTCCTTATTTTCTGATATTTCCTTACCACAAAATCTTAATGTGTAGTAGGGATGGCAGTGCTAAAAATAATGGCACCACTCTTGTACACATGGGCCACCACTACTGTGTGAATTCAGAGTACCTCTTAGAAATCCTGTGTAATATGTTTGCACATTCCTACACAGGCTCTGGTGTGAAACCTATTTTAAGCTTCCCCATCTGCCCCCCACCCCAACCCGGGGAGTGCTTACTGGGTTATATGTTGGAGAAGTAGGCTGACAAGAGCTAAGTAAGACATGTTAGGACTTTTGAATATACTCTGAATAAGTTGTATTACAGCCATATTTTAATTTTAAAACCCTGCTTAGGAACAAAAGCTTGTACTAGAACTCTCCCCAAGCCTGCAACTTTAGTCCTCATCGCTTTCTTCCTATCTTCTTTTTTATTGGTGTCTTGCCTCAAAACTCAGTTGGCAGGTGATCTTATTCTCTATTTCAAAGAGAAAATGGAAGAGATCCTGTCTGGGACCTTTGTCTATGCAATGCATATCAAATATTTATGGAAGATGTTACCCTTCCTTTCATCTGACCACAAAGAAGAACATAAGAAAAGACAGGAGTATTCAACAACCGTTCTGTGTTCCTCTGATCATTCTTTCAATATGAATCTTTTGATATAGTCCTTTGCATCCTCCATAGATAAATTTCATTGTTGGGAGGGGGTGTGCATGTGGACGATGTATGTGTTCATGTCACTGTATGCAACGTGTGTGAATACATATATATGTAAGTGTATGTTGGCATTGGGTGCTTTCCTTATTCTTTCTGACCTAATTTTTTTCTCCTCCTCTTTTTTTTTTTATTAGTAACTTTAAAAAAAATGTTAATCAAAGGCTTTATAAGTTTGGTAATGCTCAATAACAAGATGCCCATACAATCAGAAGTGTAACCCAATACCCAACCTAGATATACCAAGTATCTTTGACTGGCAGAGACACTCGAACATCTGCCTCCATGTTCCCCTCCCCCACTCTTGTCTACTAGATCCTCCTCTCCTTCTCCTCCTCCTCTCCTTACTCCTCCTCTTCCTCTCCTTACTCCTTCCACCTTAGCTCCTCCTACACATCACCCTTCCTGTTAAAATAAAACTTTTCTCTCAAAATACAATTAGAGCATAACTATACCAATTTGTATCAGTAAGGTACAAGATAGACCTAATACCCAGTCCATCATTTTGTTGACTAACCAGAACCTCTGTCATCTCTCCTAATTAAAAGACTTAGTTCTGAACCTGACTGTTTTCTTGGCTTTAGAATGAATGTCAGCTGAAAACCATCCTTTCAGATCTTTTCTCTCAAAGTAAGTAGCCAGGATTGGCTATGAGACTATAAGTCTTCAACCACATCAGAAATCCAGAATGAATTAACTGAAATTATGGGAAGCACAAAGCATAGCTTCTAAAACTTAGCCAATTTATAGAGACCACTGAACACCTGGAGAGTCTCTATACTACAGAACGTTAGAGCATCCGATCTTCAGCCTTCTGGCCCAGGATCATCTGACACACCTAGTGATGCAGAATTATTAAGGGCTGATTACTCTATCTTGGCAGATATAATCAGTCAACTATTCCTCGAGTGTGTTCTTTTCAGGACAGTAATTTGTCTGTAGATGAAAAGAGGCAATTCTTGCCTAGTGGCTGTCTCACCACGACTGAAGTAACTCCAAAGATGCTCAATTTCTTAACTACTAGGGTATCTCTCCAGGGTTCAAACTTTATTTAAAAAGTGAAAATCACTTGCATTTCATCAATACCTTCTCTTACTAGCCAATCCATTCTCCAGACCAGATAGATCAGTGACATTTTCTGTCCTGATGTCTTTAAATTGGGTTAATAAGCTTGAGCACTGTAGATATTTTTGGCTTGGTAATTCTTTGTCCAGAGTTGTATGGTATTGTAGAATGTTCAACAGCATCTTTGACCTTTTCTGACTACTTGTCTGCTGCATATTCTCTGTTGGGTTAAAAGATGTGGCAAACCCAGCATAGGTTGGGGAGAAGTATCAATGTTGACTAACTTATAACACTGGTGGTTTGAATACCTACACACTGAGACACTGAGAAGCTGTTGTAAATTTTGTTAACACAGCAAAACGTAGCTGATTTTCCTAATAGAGGAACTATAGAAGCCAAATAATTTTTTATATGAAGAAGCTAGGCTGAGGACACATAATAATGCATAAATTAAAAGGCTCTTAAGGAATTTATATTGAAGAATACTTAATGTACATTGAGAGATTGTGTGACTCTAGGTTAATAAAACTTTCCTACTTGACATGTGCTACTAAATTTTCTTTCCACCTCCTATCCAAGCATGGTGGTGCACACCTTTAATCCCAGCACTTGGGTCGGGGGGCAGAGGCAGGAGAATCTCTGAGTGGTAGATCTGTTATATATAACAGGATAACAAATTGGAGAGCTTGTTGTCACTTTTGATGGAAGTATAGTGACAAAATCGAAGTGCATAAATATCCCCTGAACTGTTGTAGATACATTTATTTTTATTATTTTCACTTATTTATTTTACATCCTACTCGCTGCCTCTTTCCCAGACACCTGCTCCCACAAGCTTTCCTCTTGTCCCTCTCTCCTTCTCCTCTGAGTGGATGGGGCCCCCATGGGAATCCCTTAACCCTGGCATTTCAAGTCTCTGAAAGGCCAGGCACTTTCTCTCCTACTGAGGCTAGACAAGAAGAACATATCCACACACAGGCAACAGCTTTTGGGATAGCCCCTGTTCCAGTTGTTCAGGGTCCACATGAAGACCAAGCTACACATCTGCTACATACCTATGGGGAGACCTATGTCCAGCCCATGTATGTTCTTTGGTTGGTGATTCAGACTCTGAGAGCTCCAAGGGTCCAGATTAGCTGACTCTGTTGGTCTTCCTATGGAGTTCCTTCCCTCCTGTTCTTCCATAAGAGTCCACAAGCCCCATCCACTGTTTGGCTGTGGGTGTCTGTATCTGTCTGAGTTAGCTGCTGGGTGGAGCTCTCAGAAGACAGCCATGCTAGACTCCTGTCATGCATGTCCTTTTGGGACTAAGTTGCCTCACTCAGGATGATATTCTCATGATCCATCTGTTTGCCTGCAAAATTCATGATATCTTTGTTTTTAATGGCTGAATAGTATTTCATTGTGTAGCTGTACCACATTTTCTCTATCCATTCTTCAGTTGAGGGACATTTAGGTTGTTTCTAGTTTCCGGCTATTACAAATAAGACTGCTATGAACATAGTTGAACAAGTATCTTTGTGGGATGATTCTCCACCTTATCTTTTGAGAGAGGATCTTTCACTGAACCTGCAGCACAATCTAAACTGGCTTGTCTAGATTTTCACATCTATGTTTTCCTTGTTCTAAGCTTACAGGTATATAATTTTGTGACTGCTTTTCTGTGTAGGCACTGAATATCAAAACTCAGATTCTCATGCTTGTTTACAAGTACTTTACCTACATAGTCTTGTCTTCAACTCCTCTTTTAAAATGACTATGAGTTTATGTACAAGTATGAGTTGCTATTTACTACGACAGAAAGAAATAAAAAACAATGGTTGTGTAAAAAAAATTAGAGAAAATACATTCTATTTTTGATTTTCTCACACCCAGCACCACCTTGTGACTGACATTGACTCCAACTCTAAACGTAGCTCCTTTGCAATGAATAATGCTTGAAGCTGAATAGAGAAGGTTGGAATGTCTTTGGTGTGGCCAGGATTCAGTCTGATAGAAAGAGGCCTTGTGTTCTTCATCTAAAAATCTTACATATATTATACAAACTTTACTATAACATTCAAATTTTAATAACATCATTCCCCAGAAAGATGTATTAAATCAATTATTTTTAATTAGACTAATGATTGCTATCTTTCAAATCCTTAGCTTGAAATGACATAAGTCTCTCATTCTTCCATATATTTCATGAAATGCTGTGGTGTGACTGAGCCAGCTTATTCTGGCTCATGACAGTTGATTTTTCTTTTCAGCTCTACAGCCAGTGAATTGAATCAGCTGTAGCAGGGGTGTTTATGCTTTAGCTTCAAGACACACTATTAATCCTGGCTCCCCTCCCTTCTCTCCTCTCTTCCAGTCATTTGCACTCAGCTGAGAACCCCTTCTCTTCACCACTCTCCTTTCCCACCCCGCTTTGCTTTTCTACTTACTAGAGTACCTCTGAAGACCTGCTTTCTTTCTTGCTTTTTTCCCCCTAGAGATTTAGTTTCTGAGAAGTAGCTCTTTACATTATAGGTTCTAGCGAAGGCAAACTAGACAGACTATGAACACAAAGGTATTTCTTATTGTCTATTTCAGTGGTACATTCCAGTAGGATTTGGACTTTCTTTATAGATTAGGTATCCCTGTGAACACTCCGCTTCCCCAAAGCTTTATGCTGTTTTGTTTTGCAGTGCTGAGGCTTGGTCACAAGGTCTTGCTTGGCAGTCACTGTACTACTGAGCCATGGCCACCTCCTTCTGTTGTCATTTTTCTTCTTCATAACAGTTTATGATGAGATATTTAGGTTTCTCATGTCTTCATTAAGCAAAAATTGATTTTGAGGCATTAGTTAATATGTTTTAGAATTGTTTTCATCATGCTTGGTTTTCTAATACATACTACAAATGTTTCCAGAATTTGATTTAGTAAACCTTACTTTGTTATTGACTCTTTCGGTAACTTAAACACGATTCCTTGGCTATTCAATAGGGAGGTATGACCAGTGACTTAAATACTCTTAATGTTTCTAGCAAATAGAATGTCTCCTATTCATAAAATACTAGTGTAGAATGTATATCCTAAATTATAACGAACGTTAAGAAGTAAAGTCTACTGTCTTGTTTGCAAAAGATTTTTTCTTTTACCAGTTTCAGGATCTAAGGCTGAGAGAGTTCTACTGTGAGGGAAACCCACTCTTCCTGAAGAGGCCAGTTTTTGCTCCACAACCTAAGGACCTCTGGACCCTACGGGTGACAGTTTAGCTCATAAGCATGCACCTTCATACTAAACACGTGGTTTAAGATGTAAAGCATTTTGGACAATTCTGTAAATGTGTAACACTGGCTCATAAAGGATGCAGATCCTCCATATAAATTTTTTTTTTGAGTTGCTCACAGAATTCAGAGTAACCTGTGCGATTTCCAGACTGACTCAACAACACAGAGAAGTGGAAAAGTTTTGCTGGATGAAAAGAAAAAGAGAAATTAATTTTACTTTAGCATTCTAGATATTGTTTTTTCTGCTAGTGGGGTTTTTATTGCTTCAGCTTCATTTCACTTGTCGCCTGGTTGTGATCTGGAAGTCATCGTGTCTACTTTGGCAAATCTAGTTAACGAAACCAAAGGAAGGATTAAGGAAGCAGATGAGGGACTCCTCTGCTCCCAGCCAAGATCAAAAGCACAGGACCTCCCACAGTTGACCATGAGTCTCGAGCATGAAGTTTGATTTACCAGTTTTGTTTGGACCTAAAGCTGAACATACAAGATTGTTTCAGATAGAAATTAGTTTTACTGCTTTTAAAATGGTTTTCTTACCATGAGAGCAATATAGATGTATGTATAGGAATATCTAAAAGCCAGACAATGTCAGTGGGTGAAAGAACTGAGAAATGTAGTTAGCAAGGCATTACTACTCTCCCCTATGACTCTTTTGTGTATTTAGAATATATTTTAAGATGAATTAATACTCTGTATGCTACTTAGAGACTCGGGTTTTTAGTCCTTTTTTGGTGAATGTCTTTTTAATCAGATTAAAAACAACATACCTGTTTAAATGAATGTATGCTATTCTGTTACATCATAAATATTTTAACTATTTTCTCATTGTTAGATGTTTAGATCATTAAAATCATCTAAATTTTTTGACTTTACAAATGGGGCCTTTCTAGTAAATAACACAATCTTAAGGTTCACAGTATAATCAAATATCTTGCACCAGAGGCTAAACTGACCATATCCATAGGAAATTTCTCTCGTGTCTATATTATCTCTATGAATAAAAAGTGTAGGGGAAAAGAACTGGTTTCTCTGAAGATCAGCTCTTTTCAAATTCCTTTCTGGAGATTATTTTCTTAAATGTCATTATTTCCTGCTCCTGTATAGAAAAATTATATTGAAATTTAAATTGATTAAAATAATTTAAAATGGTCACATTTCTTTTAAGCAACCTCAGCTTGTTCTTTTTTCCCCCTCCTGTATCAAGCATATCAGAATAATGATTCTAGCTACTTATTGTAAGGTTTCTGTGGACAGGTACTGTGCTCATGAACAAGGTAGTTGTTTGATAACCATCAAGAGGTAGGTATCTTTATTGTACTCTTTTATAGATAAACTAAGTCCCAGAAAGTCTAACTAACTTGCTCACAGTCACAAAGATAGTTTTGTGGCTTGGGTGTTGATACTTAATTTCTACGGTTGACTTTTAGACCACACACTGCAATGTTACCAAAGATCCAGAAGGTTCTTGGGATAGAAGACGAGGTTCTTGATTGTAGAGGAGGCAGGCTGAATATTTAATCTGATGTGGTAACTTTATTTCAGAGAGAACTCTAAGACTAATAGAACAGCACTTCTCTCTTTTAATTTTCAAAATTTTAATGTGGAGTACAGAGTTAATTTTATGTATATATCATCAATAAATGCATGCATGAATAGATATTTAGGCTAGATATATAGTATAAATGACTAGTTTTACTTATAATATATAGTAATTATATAATATAATGTATATTATATAATAATATATATAATATTTAGGTGGTTTTCAAAGTACTTGTATGATTTTTTTTCCCAGAATGGTGACTCAAACTGACTATATATTTCTAGGTCATTTCTAGTAGACATTTGGTTAACATTGTTGGTTAGCAATTAAACTAAACTTTGGATTTCAATGGGCCATAGGGCTTTGAAACTCCCTTTGCCTTATTAGTGAATTTCTAAAGGATATACTTAGTTGTTTAGATCTGTAATCCTAGCTACATGGGTCCAGGTTCTGTCCGAGGTATGGAGTGACTTCTAAGCTGGCTTGAATGACTTAGCGAGATGGTAAAAAATTAAAAAGTAAAGCAAAGGTTGGGGATATAGTTCAGTGAGAGAGTACTGGCAGTACCAACAAAGGTTTTAAGAACCTTCCCCACTTCAGAAATATCTTCACTACAATTTGATGCCTGTAATTCAGTGCATTGGCAGATGCAGGCCAAATGCCTTGCTAGTATAATTTCAGCTCTGTAAATTCTGTCATAGTGTTAGAAAAACTCTCATTTTACCCATGAGATACTTGGGACCAGATGAATTAAAAACATGTGCAAACAAGGCCATGCAGCCAATACCTTGTTGAACCAGTGTGTGAGACTAACTCTGCACATGATGGACCCCAAGTCCTTGTTTATGATGTCCTGTACCTGCTTCCCATTCAGTCAGCAGCAGTTCATTACATGGTCATTTCCAAGTTCTTTTTTATAATATTTATACTTATATAGATATAGTTTCTTGATTATATAATAGAGTTCAAATGATCATATGTAAAACAATTTAAGAATGGACCTGAATTTATTTTCAATTTATAGTGGAATAGAAATTGGAATACCATATAACTTACATAAAATATTCTAACAAAATAGCATATAAGTGATTCAAACTGAACTACTTGTTTATCTGTAAAAGATTTCTTAAATTGAAAATGCCACTGCAATGATGCCATAATTACATGCTATAGTTTTAGAAAAATTTACAAAATGTATCTCTAAGAAGTGTTCTAGAAGATATTATTGGTTATATCAACAGTATCTTTCTGTGTTTATCCAAATTTCCAAGTAAAAGCTTTAATTTTCAATGACATTATTCTTCTAAAGTAATATATTGGCTTCAAGGAGAACATAAATAATGACTGATATATTAGTTGTCAAACAATGCATTGAAATCAACAAACATGTTTGGGTCAAGAAGTCATAAATGGTAAAAGCAATTATATTGCTTAATTTATGTGTCTGTGTATTCCATAAAATTCTTTTGTTTCTGTTTGAAAAATGAGTCCTTGTCTATGAGTTTTCTGCATACTAGAGCTAGCCCCAATTTGTCTAATTAGCTAATAGCATACCTCTAAAACAAGCATTTTAGCTTGAATTACAAACTGCTCCTCAGAAACAGAGAAAAGGTGACAGTAAGCATCTGATGGTGGAACTCATGATAGTGTTAGTGCTTTCAGATTTATTCCCTCTGTTTACCTTGGCCATTGCCCCACTCAGAAGGTTCTGCACATATGCAAGATGCTTTGCTGTTTGATAGCGGTCTTTTAAGATGCTCGTTGACTGGGAAGCATGGGTATAACAAGGAGCAGGCCTACAGAAATACATAGGAATTCTATGTTCTTGAAAAATTTAAAGACTTCAATTAGCATGGATTAGGGGGAGATTTTTGTACATATTGATATGTATAGATTCCCAATAATGACTTACAGAACCTGATACGGGCTATTAGGAAACCCTTCATTTTGGGCAGGAAAATCTGTCCCAAATAAGTTGTCCTCATATACTGTTTACATTTCAAGCAGAGTCTGTGTAATATTTATACAAGACTGCCATGCTATATAAACACACATTGCTTCATAAACACAAGCATTGTTTTTGCCATGCTGACATGCTGGATTTGGGCACTGCTGGGCAGTGAGGCAAATGCCTGTTTTCTTGGCTAGGTCAGTGAAGACTGAAGTTTATATAGCGTATGCTGTGCTTTACTTGAGTTGATGATTTTGGTGGTACAGGTGTAAGGCAACTTCTTTTTCTTTATTACCTTTTGATTATTTAGTGTTATCATTTGTATTAGTTAGTCAAATTTCATGTAGATCAGCATGGTGATGCTTACCAAAGATTTACAGTAGCGATTACCTCACAGATTCTAATGCTCCCTTTTTTTTATTGGATATTTTATTTACATTTCAGATGTGATCCCCTTTCCCCATTTCCCTCCCACCCAGGAACCCCCTATCCTATCCCCCCTCCTCCTGCTTCTGTGAGGATGTGCTCCACCTACTCGCCCACACTGGGGAATCCAGCCTTCACTAGACCAAGGACTTTCTCTCCTACCTATGCCCGAAATGCCATCCTCTACTACATATACAGCTGGGGCCATGGGTCCCTCCCTAAGTGCTCCTAGGCTGGTGGTTTAGACCCTGGAAGCTCTGGTTGGTTGGTATTGTTGCTTTCCCCATGGGGCCACAAACCCTAATGCTCCTGCAGATTTGACTGCATTGTGAGCTATAGTTTAGATAGGAAGAATTTACAGCCTAGTAAATACGACTGAATGTTTTTGAGTCCAGTTTGAATGTCTGGGTGGCCCCTGCTTATTGTACTGAGAATTACAAAAAAATGAGTAAAATGACACCTAATTTTATTAAACAGATAATGTAAATTTATTATGACTTGGAGTTTGATATTTAAGAGACATAAATATGGTAGAAGGTACCTACTTTTCTTGTATGTGTGAAAGACACTTTTTTTTTTGCAGTGGCAGCCACATGCAAGTCATATGTATAAGTCATTATATAGTGCTGTAGAATCTTTGATTAATAAAAATAAAGAATTAAACATGATTTTGAACTAATGAAATAGGAATTAATGTATAGAATTAGAATTACTTTGAAGAACTGTTTTTTTTTCTTTTAATTTAGGAAATAGCAGCAAGAATTGTCCTCTCTCTGTTACAAGAAAACAACCCTTTGGTTATGAATGCCATAGAGTCTTACCCCGAGGCCAAGGACAAACTCTCCAAATCGAAAAAATGTGCAATATGCAAAAAACCTTTTTTATCTGAGTGGCTGGAATGTGTTTACTTTGTTGCTCCATCAAAGGTAAACAGTGTGCTTTTTTTGTGAAAATCAGCATAAGGGCTTCTGTGTTTGTCCTTACTAATGATATTTGTACCCAAGGACAGACTTCATTGATAATCTATCACATTCAGAAAACTGTGTTTCTGAATTATTATTCCTTGTTCCATTTGAATTCAAGGTCTTTATCACATTACATATACTCCATCAAAATTCTACAAACACTGGGCATGGCAGCACAAATCTTTGGTTATTTAGCACATGAGGTGCATGGGTTAGAAATTCCCTAGTTCATTTTGAGTTTCAATAGAAATGTAAAAAGCTTACCATGCTTAACTCTCACTATTCTAGAGGCAGTGGGACCTGGGAGAATGGAGCTGAGAAATGAGGCAAACTAAAGTCTTCTGCAATAGCCAACCTGATTCAGAGCATCAGACCATATACACTCTGAGTGCTTATTAAGGTTCCGTGAGTAAAGCTCTCATGAATCCAAGCTGTGTACAATCACATGGACAGTCTGCATGTGGCAAAACATGTTTTTTCATAGAGGCATGTAAAGAGTAGTTTCATTGAATAACAACAAGCAATAAGGAGTAATCTGAAGTAAACTCACTCCTATCTGCTACACCTTGAGGAATCATGAAAACACATTCTAATAACAATTCTGTGTTTTGAGGAAACAGGTCATACAACTCTTGCCTTGTTTTCTGGGAATGTTAAAAAAGCACACAGAATTCTCAAAGGACTCCACTCCAGGACGATGCCACCTGAAGCAATTCTCACTGGGCAGTTCATATAGCTTGTGAGGTAAATTTTACACAAGTGTTTAGAAGACCTCTTTCACTTCAGATGACCAAATAACATTTGAGTTAGGGAGCGTAGTCCTTATCACAACAGTGTTAACTGTTTTGTAGCAGGCGGGCATCTGTAGGCACTATATAAATGTGAACCTTACCTTTAAACTTGGTATAATGTTCTCAGGTTGTAAAATGTATTTCTTATTTTCAGCCACTTAAAAATATTAAAGCACCTGTAGGTCACATGTCCTGAGAAGAGTGGGGACCAGGCAGTACCTGGAGAACCTCAGCTTGCCGACACCTATTGTAACGCACCTGGCATTTGTTCTTGACACTATAACTTCTTGCCTGGCATTGGTGAGCAGTCAGTCATTCCTGGGACAACAGGGTATAATACTTGATGCTAATGTTAACAGATGACAGATGCATTCCCTGCTGTTCTGTAGATGATCATCTGGTGAAGGGAGCAAAACACAAAAACAAATGAACACAAGTGGAAGGAAGTATGAATCATGCCACATTATAACAGAAAAGAGATATGTATGCTTTTAGTTTGTTGGGACTTACGTGACGTTACCACTGAGTAATTTAAACAGAATTTTATTGTCTTGTGGCTCTGGAAGCCAGGGACTCCAATGTCAAGTTGCTCAAGTTGCTTGACAAGAACAGTATATTTTAGTTTTTTGGTTTGCTTTTTTTTTTTTTCTGGATTGTAAAGTATTCTCTTTTACTCTACGACTATTGCCCTTTTAGTGTTAGTAGTTAACTAGGACCTGGGATTACCTAGAAGACAGCTTTCAGACACACCAGTGAGGAATTGTTTAGCCTCTGGCCATGCCTGTAGCGGTGATGCTGACTGTTATTAACTGGGATTTCAAGACACACACTAGAAGTGGGGATCGGGAAAAAAAAAGAAGTGGGACTTGCCATTCCCTGGTCTTGTGCACAAAGACCTATAATGCAGCAAGATCTTTTCCTTATATACATTGTTTCTAAGATATCCATACTGTGACTATCATGAAATTTTCTACAAGGCTCAAAAGACTTTTTGGGGAGTAATTTGGAGAAAATTGGGTAATTTTTTTCCCTTTTTGTCCATCTGTGAACAAATACCACTTGTAGTAGGCATATCCACTTGTGATTAGGAAAAACAAAGGAAATGGGTAATCAGAGACAGAATCCTCAAATCATTTACATTTTTGTTGTTCTCCAGTGACTGTAAATGCCTACAAAAATGCCTACAGAAATCCATGAATTGGTAACATCCATTGCAGTTTGTCTATCTAGGTCAGTGTTGTACTAGAAAGTTTTAGTCTTCAGGGCATTTAGCAAACATTCAAATTATTTATTTACTCGATGTTCATTGTCTATTTCTCCCACTAAAAGACTTCAGTTGTTTCCTAGAAAAAAAAAAGGTCCAAAGCACCCAATGTTAAATATCAAGAGAAAAAAGAGATCATCCCTTGGGAAATGAGGAAATGAGGATAGAAATGTTTGAGATGCGTGTACTATCAGGTCATGTGTGTAACCTATTTGGAAGAGCTCACAGTCTCGCCTGGAATGGATCACTGCAGTCAAAAGAACTATAAAGAGTAAAACTTGCCAAATTACTTAGCAAAAGTTGCCCAAACAGCTTGATTCTCTCTGGCCATGTTCACTACACCTGGGACAACTTGCCTTGTTCATTTTTTACTTGGACAGATTCCTTTACAACATCATCCGATGAACTGTTAGTTTCATTTCAAGACTTTTTTTTTAAATGGCCAGCTAATTAAAATAACCATAGCCAACTCTGTGCTGTCACCTGAAATACCATAGTTAATATCTAAAACACCCCAGGACACTGATGAGAAATCCTAAGTTTAAACAAGTTAGGTAACCTTGCCAAGTTCTCAAAGTTTCCAACTGGAGACCAAGGGGAGAAACTCATGTGTGTTATTTCTTGTACTCAACCTGAAGTAATGAAATAGCTAGTGAACCTAGCCAGTCCTCATTTATTTAATTGACTTTAAGACAATCATGTTGAAGAGCCATTTATTTACTTCCACAAATTCAGTTTCCTCCATTGAATGTATGTATGTATGTATGTATGTATGTATGTATGTATGTATTCCATCATCTGTTGGCAATGTAGAATCCTGGTCTGGAAAGAAATCATATATTCCCAGGAACATCAGAAATTCACAATATATATTTGAGGATGAGCTTCAAAACTTACTGCCTATGTCATCTCAATTTCCTCTTTAAGGATACACTTCCTTGTTTATTCAAAGGCAAAAATAATAGCTCCTGTATCACACCAAGGGTTCAATAGGCTATGCAGATATTGCTTAGCATAGCAGGTACTTAATAATGGAATGACATTATTAGAATTTTTGGTATTGTTGCTGCTGGTGTCTGTTCATTTGGATTTTTTTTTGTTTGTTTGTTTGTTTGAGACAAGATCTTAGTGTGTAGTGCTAGCTGGCTTTATACTTGCCATATAGTTCAGGGTGATCTTGAGGTTCCTGCCATCTTCTTGTGTCAGCCTGCTCAGTGCATCATCATGCCAGACAGTACATAGCTAGATATCCAGATAAGTTGATAGATAAAAGACATGGAAATGTCGGAAGTTTTGAGAAGAGTGGAAAAGAAAATTGTTTGCTTTGTTATGAAGCAACCATTGGTTTTAATCCTATTAAAAGTGAGAAAGTGGGTGAGTGATGTATGTCAGTGTGTGGGCTCTTGCCTAGTGTGTGGTCTCAGTATACTGTCATAGCAAAAAATAAAAATAAAAAAATGAAAAAATTAAACTCACGCTATTAAGTATTCAACAGAGAAGTATATGGTTATCATCTTTATTATGAACTAATTAATCATTATACACAAAATTTTAGGGTATTTAAGATTAAATTTGAAAAATCAAATTGACATCTGAATGCATTTGGCCAGATGCATAATTTGAACTTGTATTATCAGTGCTTCACTGTTTACAGTGTAGAAGTGAGTGTGTGCAAAATACCTGAGGATGATAATGACGTTACCACTATGGTGTTGGTGAATGTGGTGGTTTGAGTAGGACTGGCACACATAGGTTCATATACTTGACTACTTGGTCATTAGGGACTGGTATTAGGTGACAGGGATTAGGAAGTATAGACTTGTAGGAGTAGGTATGGCCTTGTTGGAGGAAGTATGTCACTTGGGTGGCATTTGGAATTTCAAATGCTCAAGCCAGGCCCAGTGTCTCTCTCTCTTCCTGCTGCCTGCCAGTCCACATGCAGAACTCTTAGCTTCTTCTTAGCACCATGTCTACCTGTATTGCTGTCATGCTCCTCTCCATGATGACAATGCTCTAAACCCACGGAGAGTAAGCCAGCCCCAAATAAATGTTTTTCTTTATAAGAGTTGTTGTGGTCATGGTGTCTCTTCACAGTAGTAGAACATTGATTAAGATGGTAAACAATTGCTGTCAGATAGCCTCCAGGTTTATGTAGCTTTTCCACATAAGTGGACTAATATTCTATATAAACTTGTTTGCCTAGAAGCCTCTTTTTCTTTTAATTAAAAACTCAGTTACTTAATTATCCATTCAAGAACTAATCTTGGAGAGTGCGGTCCTTTATAGTAAATACTTCATTATGATTGGACAACATGTTTGATAATGCTAGTGTCTGGCTGCTGTTATGCTACGCTGAATGTTCTTCTTCAAATAGGGTATGCATCAAAAAGTGGGAGACATTGAATTAAAAAAGTCTTTATTCCTGACATGAAGCAGAAAAATAAAAATCAAACAAACCCAAAATTTCAAATCGAAATGGCTTCTGTTCAGGTGAATGTAACATTATGTTATGCTTGCCTTCTAAATTAGTGAAATGGCCAGTTGAAAGTAATGGATAAAATGTATCACTCAACAATGTACTCAATTTGTTTTTTTTCCAAAATATTGTAATTATCTGAGTTGTTAGCCTTTAGAAATTTCAGTTTAATTGCTATTTCAGCAGGAATCTTTGAAATAATAACAGAATTAATCCCGTTTAGTTACTAGTAACTTGGGCCACATTTGATCAAGTAACTTAAATATTCTTGTAAAGTTCTTTCCAAACTCTTGAGTGATCCTGTGCCCAAAATATTCATATGAAGACTTTCATTTTGAATTTTTTCATTAGTTGAATTTAACATTCCCCCAGATTCCTTTAAAGTTGAAGAGTTTAGGCAAGGACTGACTTTGAGCATGAACTCTCAGCC